AATCGAAGAAAAGAGTGAGCATAGGAAAGGCAAAGAAAATGGATTATAATCGAAGGAGAAAAAGCCGTGAGAGAGAAACAGTAACATCGATAAGAAAACAAACAAAAATAAAAAAGAGGGAGAAAAACAATCTATTGGAGATTAAAAAAAAAAAAAGAGAGACATTGAAAGAAGATGTACAGAGGAAAAAACGTTGAAAAATATCATTGAGTTACACGAGAAAAGGATAACAAAGTCCATGAAGTAAAAAAAAGTTGAATTAAATTTTAGAAAAGTCTTCCAAAGGGAAAAATTCAATGAATGAAACAAAATAAAAAAAGCACAATGAAAGAAAAAAGATACAATGAAAAATATACTGACTGAAAACCCACAATGAAGAAAAAATAAAACAAAAGAAAGAATGAAAAAAAAAAAACAACCAATGAAAAACGAAGTGGACACTCAAAGAGAGAATAACCAACGAAAGAAAAAACAATGGATGAAAAATACAATCACTAAAATGAAAAACAAAAAATAAGGAAAGAAAGACCTAATGAATGGAAAAAAACTCAATGAGTAAAAATTACTTGACGGAAGAAAAGAAAAGAAGGTGATAGGAAAGAATAAACATGAAATTAGAAAGAGTAAAATGGAGGTAAAGAAAAGGAGAAAAACAAATATTACGCTTTAGTCAGGCATAAGATCAAAGATCAGGATTAACCGCAGAGACGATTGTGAGCAGAGACGATATCTGTTAATATTTACTGAACACCATGAAGCGCAAAATGCAACAAGAAAAATTGGAATTACATTTGAAAGACTGAATAAAAGAATTATATTTGAAAGACTGGATAAAAACCAAAGAAAAATAAATAAATCGAATGAAATATTGAGTAAGAATAAGACAAACATAACAATTAATTAATTCCCAAAAGCCCAAGACTCTCTTGTTACAGATTAAAATGCACAGTTCATGAGGGTATGTAAGAAAGAAAACGGTTAACCCTAGACTTGAACAGATTAAGATTGTAGTGATCGGGAAAGCATCCTCCTGGGAGTCGTTCCACGAAGCAGCCATTCGTGTGAAGAAGCTGCTCGTGTGAAATACGAAGTGAATAAGGGTGGTTCGCTACGATCTGTGTGGCATAAGGGGTGTTAGCCATGAACGTTAGAACTGGTGGAACTAAGGACTGTAGGTCGTCTGAACACTTTCCATGGGAACGGTGATAACCCATCGAAAGGCTTGCAGCGTTTCATCTTTGGGAAAATGGTTGTAGGGTAGAAAATAATTTATCAACTACAAGGCCGCCGAGACACATTTGGACACTATCGAGAGAGGAAAGGGAAGTCTGAGCTGTTCTTATCGATATATGGCAGAGGTACTCCATTTTCGGACTGATAAAGGTATATTATTGCAGGAGGGTGCAGGTACTTACTGGAATCGTACAGTGACGCGAACATTTTTACATCATCTTTAGTGATAGATCGTATGTAAGATTTCTACATGAGATCTGCTTTAAGTCCTAATAGACTCTAATGGTACAGGGACACTCTGAGAGAATGTCCGTTCATCGCGATAGGTCTGCTCAGTGATGATTGAATGAACTTGTTTCGTTTTCGAAGTATTGGATGTGACCAACCATTTTGTCCTGCACTGAGTTGTTAAAGCAATGTCAGAGGAGAGAGCATCTACTAAGCTCTGCGCATCTAGCGTTATGAAGCTGCATCCATATACCATTATATCGGGAGTATATATATTCCAAATGGAAAAAATAGAAAAGGAAGTAGTATAACTACTAAATGTAAATAAAATGTATCCAAAAGAGGAAAGAGAATCTTATGATTCACCTTGTCCCTCCTTTAGTTTCTTAGGTCGCTCGTACGTCACGACCTGCCAATACCTCATAAAAAGTGAACTATTCCGTTTTGATGGCGTGTCAAGACGGAAAAGACATATTAGAGACGCTACTTGGCTTCAGTTAGAATATGAAAGAAAGAAAAGGGAAGTGAAAGAGCGTATAGAACTTTAATCTGTTTAAGGACTGTTTCAGTGAAATAGAAAAATATTAATTTCAAATCTTTTCACTTCTACCTCTTACTTAATGACCAGCATCCACGTTCCTAATTGTTTTTGCAATATTTTATTATCAAAGTTGTTAAGCCCAAATGCTATGCTATGAGGGCAATTCCTACTGATATTTTATAGTCGTCGAACTCATCTGAGCTTATTCAGTCAGTAACGTAAGAATTAAGGTTCATCAGAAAATTCAAATAGGAAAACCGTGAAATTTTTACGTGTATTTCTAGTTCAATATAATTTGTTTCTTTTACACAAGCGTTCGTGTTTTGACGATAGTAGGCAGTATAGACTCATCTCGCATTAAAGAGTGTTGAATTTTTCTCCTAGAAATTTACTAATATAAAACTAGTATTATGAAAAGATACTAAAGATAGTATCCCACATCTGATAATATTTACCCAGCAGAAAAAAAGAATAGATAACACAACGTGCAGAGATTTCAGTTCTCAACATCACAAAAATTTCCTTGGTTACACTAACCTTTGCAACTTCCCGCATTGCCACCTACGCAAGTATGGATCACACTTGTAAATAGTGGAGTATTCCGTTTTGATGGAGTGTCAAGACGGAAAAGACATATCAGAGACGCTACTTGCTTTTAGTTAGAATATGAAAGAAAGAAAAAGAGAAAAAGAAGAGACAATAACATTCTAATCTGTTTAAGAACTAGTTTTATGAAAAGATATTAAAGATAGTATCTACCATATAATATTTACGGAGCAAAAAGAAAAATAATAGAAAAATTAACGTGCAGAGATTTCAGTTCTCAACATCACAAAAATTTCCTTGGTTACACTAACCTTTGCAACTTGAACCCACCATGCCATCTTCGCAAGCATGGATCACACCCATTCCCTTTGAATTCCTTTAATAAAAATTAAAATCAACTCGGACAGCTTCTTCCCAAGAACTGCTGTTTTGTGGAACAGTCCACTGGCAATGATTCCCTCCCCGACCACTACAATCTTTATTAGTGTTAACATTTATAATCCCTACATAGCCTCATGAATTGAACTTCATACTTTTTGTTACGTTCATACAACACTGCACAATAACCATCTACCTTGAGTGACCATTGGGTTTTGTATTGGTTGGCCATTAAATAAATATGAACTCATGTGTAGGTACCAAGAGATAGCAAATGATCGATTTTCATTTCAATTTTATGGATGGCGAGACGAAATTTCTATCTTTTACTCAACCTCATATAGCATAAAATGCAAGAAATAATCAAATAATCTAATTGAATAAAGATAAATTATTATGAGATAAATATAAAGATTTCTTCCTTGAGCACTTCACATGGCAGTCATATTTCTTTGTGACGTGAATGCTACTTTTCTCTAATAGTAGTAGAAATTTTTTTTTTGAAAGATTCAATTTATTTGCATAGAAAATTAAGTCACAATACTTTGTAGTTTGTTTTTTTTTACTGAATTCTAAATTTTAAAAACAAAGTAACTATAAACAATTTTTTTGCTATCCTCTGCCAACCGCAATGATGGAGAAAGCATTACCTCGAACCATCGCCAGTGAGAAACGCTGCAAGAACCATTCCATTTCACGAGGATCATCCCTTAATAGAGACGCGATCGCGCCAATCCTTCGAAGGAACGCCATCGAACGAGGACCAATAACCCCAGAAGTCTCCACGGCCACAAGAGTTAAAAAAAAATCTATCAGCAAGAGAAGAATATCTATATGTTTTTTTTTTTTTTGTTTTTTTTTTATATATATCTGCGTCCCCAGCGACGGAACCCGGCTCAACCGCGGACCTGATCAAATTAGCGGCCGAAAATGTATCCGCAGAGATCGCATCCCAAATCAACGACTTCCCAATTTTAGAAGGGAGAATAATGGAAAATAAACTGAAAAATTACGTCACTTACTTTATTTCAACCAACGAGAAGAACGTTAGTTTTATAGAAATCCAAATTAATGCGTTTAAAAACAAAGTAACTATAAACGAAATAGTTGTTTTTTTTTTTTTATGTGATTGTTGCAGATGCAGATGTGGAGCTTCCATCGACGAGTTCGGTTTGCATCCTCTCTCCTCTCTTCGTACTTCCGGCCGCTTTCTAAGGCATGCAGCAATAAACGACATCATCAGAAAAGGTCTGGATGCAGCTGGGTTCCCTTCCCAAATCGAACCCGTAGGCCTCAACCATGGTGATGGCATTAACATTTTCCCTTGTAAAATGGGAAAGTCGTTGATTTAGGATACGACTTGTGCGGATACATTTTCGACCGGTAATTTGATCTGGTCCGCGGTTGAGTCGGGGTCCGTCGCTCGCGACGCAGAGATAAAAAAGAAAAAATATATATATTCCTCTCTTGCTGATAGATTTTTTTTTTTGAGACTTCTGGTATTATTGGTCCTCTTTTGATGGCGTTCCTTCGAAGGATTGGCGCGATGGCGTATCGATTAAGGGACGAGCCTCGCGAAATGGAGTGGCTCTTGCAACGTGTCTCACTGGCGATGGTGCGAGGTAATTCTTTCTCCATCACGGAGGCTAGTAGAAAATTAGCCTTTTCCTTAAAAGAAAACATTAGACATTCATTAACCGAGCAGCTAGTGCTACATTTAGTTGAGATTTATAACATCATTCTCTTAAAACAATTTTCCATTGTTAGCTCCCGTTTAATTATTGTGGGGGGGGGCTCCTTCCCAACCTTTTGTTTGAAGTAGTGTGAAATATCAACATTTAGATTATCTCATTATTTTATCTACGGGTTACATTTGCTATTTATTTTATTTAATGTTATTTTGTTGTTGGAAGTTCTCTGGTTACTCTTACTTGGTACAGTGCATTGTTTGCGATTCTATAGCGCCAGGCTCCCAGGTGCGAAAAAGGATGGTCCTCGCTAAGACCTACAGGTTTCATTAGCAAACAACCATTTTAAAACCATTGATCAAAAAAAAAAAAAAAAAAACGGAGGCTTACAGCCATATCACGTTGGAACACCGTTTCCTGTACGATCACTGAACTTAAGCAACATCAAACCAAGGCAGTACTTAGATGGGTGACCGTTTCGGAATACCATGTGCAGTAAGAGTGGTTATGTGGATGATGTAGTAGATAATGGTTCGGAATTGTTAATTTTGGAACTGAGTTCCAATTCCAGTTGGGTTCGTTATATTCACTTACGCGCGAATACCTTTGGGATAGATAGAAATCCACCTACTTCTCCCCCAGCTATGTGTTAATTAGACTTGTATCACTAAATCATTATTATCTACACCCTCCAAGAATTCTTAGAATCTAAAAATAATTTCTGGCTTTAAATAACCTGTAAAGGGTAGATAATCTGTGGAAAACGAATCAATCAATCAATGAGAAAACGGTTCTATACAGCTGATAGTTTAGATATTTCTGAACGACTGTGGTGACGTGCAGGGCATTCATAGGAAAGCATGGATCTGACGTGGATATTTTAAAACATGACACGAGTTTTAAGTTAATGTTTTGGCTTTGTATGAATTTGCAGTGTTGGGTGAGACTGCATCTGTGTTTACTGCTATTTACTTTCGGTTATCTCTCTTCTACGTAGTTTGTAGATAGTAAACGATAAGAACGTGAGGAAACAAATTTAGGACATATCAACTGGAATCGAAGGTACGTATTCACCGATTTCAAGGCTCAAGGACCCAGGGTGTTTTGTGATGTCAACGTACTCGTTGTCACTTTCGTAATGCTCGTTGTAGTAGAGACATCGTAATCGCAGGTACAACTATAGTAAGCCGTTGAACAATGCTGTGTCACACGCCTTCGAATAACGCACGCACTAATAGTACTTGCTCGATAATACTCGCTCGAATAGTAATCCGTATAGTGAAATAGTATAGAGAATAGCGGTCCTTTTAGTAATAGAGGATAGACCAGACTGACGATCGTTAGTTGCCAGCTACTTCCTACATATATGCGTTCCCTCTATGGTCAATAATGGGATCGCCTGTGTTTGCTCAGCGACACTTTATTCCTATATAACTGGGTGATATTGAATGAGGTGCTTGATATCATCATAAGAGGAGGTAGAAAGATGTAAAGATTATACAGTTAAGGATGATAGGAAACGATTGACCCTTGACTTGAATAAGCTTTGGTGCTAAGAGGACCATTCACACGGGTCTTTGTCTCACAGAGTAGCAGATAGCAGAAAAATGTTCCTGTTTATAAATGTAATACAGAGGAAATGAGTGTTATTCGATGCCACGGATCTTTTATGGTGATAGGCTTGCATCGTTTCAATTGTGGGGAAAGAGGCGGTAGAGTGGAAATATCTCTTACATGAACTCGTAAACGATTTTGAAATCTATCTAATCTGGAAAGTCAGGATTAGGTAGCTCTAAGCGACGATATTATTGGATTAGTAAGAGAATGCATTGCAAATTCTGGCGTAAATGTTTGAAAGAGAAACGGTAGGAATATCAGCCCGAGGAAGAGGTAGAAAATGACAGTCACAGGATATGGTAGGATTTCTGTCTAGACATATCACGCAAGCACGACGACCCGACCTTATTGTGATAGATAAGGAAAGTAGACTTTGCTTTTGTCATTTCATACGTTATAAGAGTGGACACCAAAGAAACACAAAATATTTTTAAAAAATAGGGTTTTTGACAGAAGCTGTGGAATATGACTGCTGAAGTAATTTTATGTAGCAATGTAAGACAACCTAGAAACTTTTAAGATCGCTTAGGGAAAAGTGGTATTTGAACAAAGATTGCAAACCCCGAGAAAACTATATTATATATTCTGAGAGAATTCTTGTTCTTGAGTTGTGATGAGTTCAATTGACACTATACACCAGGAACCGAATTTCAATTGAAAAAAAGAACAATGATGGAAAGGAAGAAAATTAAGAAAGAAAAACGCTGTAGTGAGAAATAATATAATGGAAAAAAGTATATATATATATATATAGAGAGAGAGAGAGAGAGAGGGGAAAGAGAGAACCAGAGAGAGAGAGTGTGAGAGGAACGGACATGATAAAAAGAAACATAATTATATTGTATTAGATTCTAAACGCCCAGGAAACAGCCATCCATGATTCTCCGTGGATTCTTCGCTTTGCTAGAAGTCTTTTTGAAACCATTGTTCAAGAGCAAAATTTCCATTGACACCAAAACAACAACAACAATAATAATAATTTCGTTAAAATAAATTCTATAGTCTACGTAGAAATGAACGTCTGAGGTAGGATTATCGCCTCCGGTCGTGAATGTTACTATTAAGATTAGTGTATGGGTGACCTCTTATCTCCTATAAGGAGCAGACAAAAAAAAAAAAAAAAAAAAACTTCAAAAGGAAAGTCATGAGAAGAACTGAGAGTTCGGATTTCTACATATAGTAAGTGAATTTTATTAATTATATATTTAATATATTTTCTGTTTATACGTTATTTTTATAGGTAAAATTTATTTAAGTGAATGCACTGTTTTTTTAATTAAACATTATTAATTACATCTATCGGCCAGAATGTTAGAGAAATTTTGTAGGAAACATGCGTTCTCCGGCAGAAATCGAACTTTTATTCCCATACGGAAACTGTCATTTAATCTGACGTGCTGTACCATTTGGCTACAGAGAAGCGTCTGGTTAGCGAAGTCCAAATTTCCTCAAGTTAATTGATGTAGGCAGAAGTATTGAGTTTGAGGTCATGTGGGAAAATAAATGGATGAATGACGTCGTCGTCAGTATTGATCTCTCCAGTCACCTTCGTAATCACCATTAGACTCATCTAACTCTTTCCGAATACTCTGCATTGGGCTTAGATTGACACCCAAATACTGAAATATTCGTATTGGAGCTTCTGGATCGAATGCAAAACAGTACATCATGCTGTTACCAAATTTCTGTCGGAGTAAATTGCGTCATTGTGCTCTTTTTCGCACTGACGGTGTGCAGTCGAAAAAAATAAAAAACAATGCGCATGCGCTAAATTTTAAAAAAAATATATAAAATGGGGACAATTTACCCATCGCAATCTGTAGAACGTTCGGGCAGTTTTTGTACACTTCATGTTCAGACAAGTTAACATTTATAGTAGCACAAGAAAAATTGAATAAGAATCTTAATCGTAGTGCCTTGTCAGTTGAATTTAATGAAACATATATAAGAAGGATTTCTACTCAAATACACAGTCTCTATATTTATGCTTCAAGTTTTAGGTTACAATTTTACACCGCGGAAGCTAAATTTGGCATACGGGTAGATTTTGATAGGTTGAAGGTCATACGTTTTGTAACATTGATGATTTTGTAGACGAAAGAATCATAAGGCTTTTTTTCCGTGTTTTGCTTTACTTTTCTTTTCTTTTAAATTCTACTGAATGTCTAACAAAGAACTGCCATTGTGGTCTTTATTTACGAAAAACGGTAACTTTTTGTATTTTTTAACTCCGAAAACATTGCAATATTCAGCTGCAAGTTTTATTTTGGTTGTTTGCTTGTTTACTTTGTATTTTACAACTTTCAAAGTAAACAAACAGAAGAAATGCATTATTTATATTTATTTTTACTTATTACTTTTATTTATTGGCACAGAGATATTGGAGAATTTATTGATTACAAAAATAATCCATGTATAAATTTGTTGTTACTGATTCAAATTGAGATTACCTGGGCACCTCGACGCGGTGTAATGGTTAGCAAGTTTGTCTCGCGAGATCAATTACGAGAGAGTTCCTCACTGGGTGCCCCCTACTTTCGACCTTTATCTGAGTTGTTAAATGTTGTTCTATTTTACCAGTTTGGTGTTATTTTCTGTAAGAGCCTAGCAGTATTGAGGTAATCCTTTTTTCGATGGATTGCGTAGAATAGCAAAAATTGGTAAATTACTTTATTTAAAAAAAAGATTATAAATATGTCCCACTTATGTTTCCATACTCTTCTTTAGTGGAACATAAACCACGACGTATTTGCAAGTTGTATACTTTGCATCAGATTATACCATCGTATTAGTTCAATATAAGATTGTAGCATCCCTCTACCACTTATCAATGTACAATTTTGTGCAAAAAAGTGTATCAGAGAGCCTACTCAGCTTAGTAAATATTTTTCAGGAAATATCAGCTTCTAATTGGTCAATAAACACACAAGTGGGCGTTGCAATACACCCACGTACAAATATTTTTCCAGCGCGTGACAAAGTTTCCCGCCAATATGCTGCATTACTGTCACGTGATTACAATAATTATAAATAGCAGACACGAGTTCGCTCAGTCTCTTTTACTTTTCCAAATTCCTGGGAAGATGTGATCATAAGGGTTCTCGTCTCGACCATGGGCGGTCAGACGTTAAAAGCATATTCACGCATGTACATACGTGCAAACTTTTCCAGACTACATTACAGAACATTTCCAAACAAGCAACAAGAACTTTTCTCTTTGAAACATTCTTTTAAAACTACAGTTTATTCAGCATTTCTCAGCTTTGTAATTAATTCAACTTTTCTGAGTTCAGATAAAATATTCACACTCTAAGGGACATAAAACCTACAGATCTTTAATTTCTAAGCATGCACATCAATACACAAAATGAATATAAATGTTATGTTTTTAAAACCGTTTTTTTCCTTCTTGTATTTCATGTTTTGTGGCGTTTTACGTCAAATATAAATTGTGTGGTCATGTTATTCACGCAGCCATAAACAGACATCTACAAACCATCCATTCCTATCAATATTGCTAAAATATATTTCGCATATAAAATAATATAAAATCTACAACATACATTTAAAACATAATAAACAGCAGAAATTTAACACGTTTTTCTTATTAAGGATGTTTTTTTGAAAACTGATATACCCAATCTTTTAAAGCAAACAAAATCCGGAAACTATATAAAAATCAAAGCCTTTGATTTAATCTTCAAGCCTCGAATCATGTTCGGATGTTTTAACTTGAACAACATCCTCGCAAATTCCGCTAATTAAGCATTGTGTCAATGTCGGGCCTGGCGATGGTAGATTCAACAAAACAGAGTCTTCGATCTTTTTAAGTTTCATAGCCATAACTGCTTTCCTACCTAGTCAAACGAAAAAGCGGCCAC